TTAAATTGTATTAAAACGTTTATGTAAGAATTGCAATATTGGTGTCAATGAACCTTTAATGTGATTTGTAACATTAGCTCACCTGAGCACATGAGAACAATGTGCTTAAATGGTCGATTTTACTTTCACTCATATTGGGATGGTGTTTTGCTTAATCTTCTCACACAAGCGTTTAAGCTTAGATATTTGGTGCATGACCATTGAATATACGCCAGATAGATAATAAGCTTATTAAATAGTTACTGTTTTAATTTAAATCATTTTTTAAACCTTTCTATTTATTTGTGACGGAAATATAAGAATCAATTTCATCGCTTCCAAACCTGTTGTTTTGTACATAAACAAAAGAACCAGCTAGGTTGGGTTTATTTTTCAGTTGGGAGAGAACTATGGGATGTGAGTAGGATACAAGTATTAATCTTAAATATCAGCGTGTAAGTTTGTTTTATGGAAGTCGCCAAATATATCGGATCGAATTATAACTAATCTTTAATTAAAACTATTAACAACAACATATATGGATACGGATAAAGAGTTATAGAATAAAATAAGGATATAATTAAACAAATTGATTATGTGATGCTTAATATACAATGCTATATAATTTTAGTTTAAAATTAACATTTTCTTTACATTGGCTTGAATTAACGAAAACCAAATTTAAGTGTATGACAAATTAATTCATGGTACACGGCGATTGTAATTTCTAAGGTAACTGTAACACAAATATTAAAAACAAGTACGACAGTGTAAAAGTAAAGTTGAAGGAAGTGCCGCATAAGCGAATTTGTAGAATATTACTTGATGAATAATTTCATATGATATAAATATTGTTAAATGGGAAATATCAGATGTTCGGCGTGTTTTGTAAAATAGATATATAGGGTTAGTTAGTGGCTCGATGATTGGGATATTACATATCAGAATATAGTCTAACTGTTTCCAATATCATTGTATATTTTGTGTTATGACGTTTTTCTTTTTCTATGTTTACTGAGATTTAAGACCGGTACAGGTTATATTAGACAAAAATAAGCACAGACGTATTATCTTTATGTAAATCTAAAATAATGTGTACCTTTAAATTGTAACTAATTGTTGTTAAATGTATTGAATATGACATTAATTATCTTGCATTGGTTCATAATTTATATGTATGACCAAAGTCATCCTACACAAAGTACGCAAATAGATTTACAAATGTACGTACAAGTGGCTTTATACATTATTTCTTGCACATCTTATTAATCGAAATTTACATTGGCTGACGAGCAATCAACAAGTTGAATTTATGAGATATATGTATTCCTCGTCTCGCCAGTGAAAGCACACATTTAATTGACACCTTGTAAATCATGGGACAAGACGACCGTAAATTCCGTTGTTTCAATTAAGTTTGATATATATCTTTATTGTTAAATAGTAATTTTACAACTTCCTTTAACCACTCAATATTAAAACAGATGCAATCTATATTTCCGCTACCACGCAATCGTGTACAAACGAAAAATGTATTGCAGTTTTTATCTTTCACTGGTGAGTGTTTATTATTGTTACTCGATAAATTCTAACTGTGGTTCGCTTTCAATTGGTCATTGAAAACAATGTGTGCTTTAAATCCAGGTTAAGATGTACAACAATTCAGCGTCCATAGAAAATTAGGCGACTACACATTAGGATAAATAGAATATTAGGGAGTGTATTAAATAGCCTTTCCCATTTGCACCACTTCTCTTAAGTATTAAAAAACGTTTTTGCCGTAATTAATCTATTCAATGAATTTGTACTAATTTCTATGTACTGTAAATGTTTAACATTATCATAGTAAAATATAACATAACGTGTGGGTTTTCAAAATATTTGCCATTAAATTTCAGATACTTATCACATTCTGTAACAGTATTTTTTTTCACTTTTATTTAGCAAATCCATCAAAAGATATAGAGGATATTTGTTTGTTTAAGTGTAAGATCGAAAAATATTTCACCGAGTGAACACCAGATGCAATATTTTCCACGAGTGGCGTAGCCACGAGTGAAAATATAATAGCTGGGGTTCTCGAGTGAAATATTATTTGATCTTACATGTAAAACGAACAAATTTTCTGTTTATTTCATGATTTTTTAACGATTTTTACACCATTTTACTGATTTTTGCCGCGTAACGTCATGCTCTTATCTTCATGACGTCATCAAATAATGACGTCACAATGTTGAAGCAAAATATAATTCCATGATTATTTTTAGATTTTAGATGTTTTTCAGCACAACGTTCGTAAATATTTACGAACTACAGTTATCACGTACATTTTTTATCATGATTGACTACATTTCCGCTGAAAAAAAAAATTCATTAATGATAAATATTTTATTTTTACGCCAAATATAGTTCGGCTACTGTGAAACAATATTTGGTAATCATTACTGTGAAATTATCAGAATATAATTAACCGTTATAATTCAGTAATATACTGCAAAACATGTAATAAACGTGAATAATTAGGCTATGACCATGTCATATAAATTTTACACGTTTTTTTCTCACATGATCTTTCATTATATTTTATTCATTTATATCTGATTGAAAATACCTATTGTAGTTCTGTTTGCTTCATACATATTAAGCAAGGTGCTAAACAAGTCGTTTACCTGAGGAATTGTAAATACGACTGTGACTTGCGATATTGAAATATATTAAGCATATGATATTCGATTTGTTAAATCTGTAGGCAGATTTTATAGAAAATTTGTTAATCTGGTAATCTCTCACAAGAGTTTGAGATACATTTTGAATGAGTCTAAGGTAGGAAAAATAATCAATTCGTTGGAGAATGTAAAAGGAACGTTCAATATAAGTTTAAAGCGCATCTTTTAGTTAAAAATGACAAAATTTAATAGCGTGTAACCAATTTGGAAAATCAAACGGATGTTTACATCCCGTTATTTTCACACCTTTTGTTCTATACTATAAATTAAAAATAAACGGAGAGCAGGCAATACACATGTCAATTAGGAGCATAGTATTCTGTTTAAGGCACGTTTAATTATACATTATTAGCATTTGAATTGAGGTCCAAAGGGATAAAAATACAACATTTGAAATCGTACATAGATCTGCTTTGCATTTAAACAAAAATACAAATGAAAATAATAATAAAGGAAACAAACATACATTAATTTATATTCGATATTTAGTGTCACAGTGATTCTCAGACCAATTTGAGCAAAGAGCGTTTAAATGCTACTTACTAATATTCCTTATTTAATTTAAATCATTCAGCGGCATTTCTCTAATCTTTATGTTTGCATAACTAAAGAAACTTTGTAGTGTTTACAAATAGGTGACATGATACAAGTTATGCGAAAAAAGTATTTTTTTTCTAGCTACCTCGTCCGCAGATGGCGTTATACATCTTGGTGGGGTTTTGTTATCTGGTAGTAATTCTTTAATGTTTAGATATTTCGGAAATTCGTTGAGCCTCCTTTGCAGCGAAATATTGGAAACTGTTATCATTCTGTTGAAAAAAACCCACAACGATTCAAATGATACCTGAAGAGAGTGTGATTTATGTAGGTAACAGATGAAAACATACAAAAGTTATGGAAATGAAAATAGAACATGATCTATTTAAGAAAGAAAAACTGGTATCGAACGTGTAATTATTGTTTGTGTCATAATGGCCAGGCTTCATATTATCTTAACCTTGCATTGTTTCAGTGGAATAATGAGAACAAAAATCTTGGACGAACTTGGATGAACAACCCAACCGTAGGCTCTGAAACATTAATTTTCTTTGAGCAAAATAGAGAATAACGGAATCTCTGATGAACGCATTAGATGACAAAATTAGAAACATCGCATGCTCGGTTTGATTGAGCCTGTTCATAGACGGTAATGGAAATTGCGTTTGTACGTAGATTATTTAAGTTGCTATTTTATTGCTAAAAGCAACTGCCTTTTGAATATATAAGTGTCCTTTATATTAATATGCATATTCGCTGAGTTTGTTTTAAATGTTCAAATATATGTTCCTGTTTGCATTGCATTGATTTGAACTTTGAAATACATATCGTTTTTTTATATGTTTAACATACAAATTGATATTAGTACGATTCTGTTGGAAGCTATGTGCTTATTTGTGCTTATTGAAACACTCTTGAATCCATTCCTGGAATCAACCAGCACTGATCAATGTGTGTAAGGTTTCTTGCTCACGCCCACTACAGATTGCCCCTGACGGGGTTTGAACCACGAAACCAGCAATACTTAGACTACAAGTCCGACGCGTTCAACAGTCGGTCACGGCGGAACTCATATTTTATATCATGTAACTTCTGTACTCATAAATAGTATAGTTGATTTCACATTCATATGTACATTGCATTTCGATCAATATTCGATCATGCTCATTTGTCTTCATATCTCAATAAAGATATCTCAGATTATTCTTTCTCATTTTACAGAATTGTAAAATGGACCTACAATAAATATTTATTCTAACACGACCCGCATTCTCTCCCCCCCCCCCCAATGAACATAAAAGAACCGAAAGTGTGTGTTATAATGCAACAAAATCACAGTTTGACGTTCTATATTTAGACATGTAACGTATTCATTATACACGTGACGTAACCATTAAAAATGTGACGCGCTAAAAATAAGTACGGAAACTAATCAGGTGCAATATAGGTTAATATCAGGTACGGCAGCACTTATTTGTTGATGTCGTGTTAGAATCGAAATAATAAATCCAAAACAGTTATTTTATCGCTTGATAACATCACTGTTTATTGTTCGGATGCGCATCGTTATATCACTCGGGCTACGCCCTGTGATATAATTCCTCTCATCCGAACTCCAAACAGTGATGTTATTGAGTGATAAAATCACTGTTTTGGATATATCATTTCTTAAGTAGCAGGTGTACACAAACGTCTGTGTTTTGACGGGGTAGAAAGTGAAGAAAACAAATTGGACATAAATGAAAACAAACTCGGAACTAATATGACAATAAATTTGTTTTAATTGTAATATCTTAGTAATAGTTTGCTATAGATAAAGATAAGAATATTGGTTAACCTTAAAAAGTTAGTATTTACAATACTAAATTGCCTAATCATGTGGCAAAGAAATTATTTGTAATTTGATGTTAAAAGCTAATACATTATCAATGTAAAAGTTTTTTCAGAACATGAAAAACAGTATCCTTGCATTCTTTGAATTTTATCTTCCTAGTCCGATGAAATAAATAGCCGGATCGGCGTGTATAGCGTTCGTAACTCTCCGATTCCATGACTTTGGTGAGCGGAATTTGCTAAACATATTTGCAGCCCACCACCTTTTAGATTTTTGTCCCTTATTGATAACATTTTGTTCAATATGCTCCAAATTATTCTTATCTTGTTTTTCAAAATCTATATCTAAATCTGGAGATGCGAAAGAAATGTCAAAAGGAGATTTTGTTGCCATATTTTTATGAGGCACTTCATTGGACAATTCTTCTGTGTTTGATGCCACGTTGTCGACCGAATTATCAAAATTTAGGTTGTTGTTATCAAAGTCATCTTCATCACTATTCAGTGTTTGATCAAGAGTTGCCTCTAACTTCTGTTTGCCGGACTGCAAAGGATACAGATTTTCCGAGAAAAATTCTGGTGCTCTCTTTATTTGAAGGTTTCTTAGCTGTTGTATCTTCTTGAACAAGAAATCTGGTTGTCTTGCTAATATATACTGCTGATTGCTCGAAATTCCTTTTCCAAAATCGTTACCTTCAGTCAACATTTTCTGTATTTTATAAATCATATTTGAGTCATCTATTTCGTCATTTGTCTGTTTAGTGTCATCTAAGAATAGTTCAGTTGACCTTTTACCAATTCCTCTGTGAAAAAATCGGAATCTATCGATTTTTCTTTTCGCAAGTTGAGGTCGATTATACTGTGAAATATCTGGCGACATTAATTGGTCCACTTCATATGGATCTCTATAAAAACTGTTATACACTGCCTGCCAGTTTGTGTCTGTAAAATAAAAACAAATCTTAACTCTAAATATATATGCAGCATTATTCCTTAATTTATTCCGACTTAATGGCAATTAGAATTGTTTAAAGGGAATATATGATAAGATCCATATGATCGTTCCTTTTTTAGATATAAATATATACATTTTGTCTTTATTCGTCTATTTTATATACATACATATAATTCAGTGGTTCGTTAAAGCTACGTTTTGCTTTGCTTCGTTTAAGTGTTTTAATGAATATTTAATGTCATTATTTTATTCTTTGTAAATATTGTATACTGACCCATCAGTATATTTTATATTAACGACGGACATATGCTTTTGTTGAATCGAATAAATGAAAAGTGACGTTATAATGTCTATTTTGCTCATATTGTGTCAAAAGTAGAAAAGGTGTTGGAAATTTGATATTTTAACAAAGAATTAAGTTGAGCACATTTTGCAATGCATTGATTAAAATCATTTTCTTTCCCTTGTAAACTTTCTGACTAGACTTTCTGTCGTCAGTCAGACTTGCGTTGCTATAAAACACTTCAAAAACAAAACATCGATTCCTTATTAAGCACCCATTCGTTATCGTGTCCCATTCAAATCAATGGATTGATAAAGATGAATTAATTCATCCGGATAGTTGAATAGTTTCTTTATAGTTTAATCGAGCGGGTATTTATCATTTTTCTTGATGATTTTATTATGGGGGAAATTTGTCTTGATACAAAAATACTTCAGTCAATGAAATTCCTTAATTAGCCTAACCATCCTCTTTTAGCAAGTAAAAAGCTATAAAACAAATAGTTATCTAGACATATTTGATAGTGTCATTGTTTTTAATGGTTCACATGAATTGATTGCAGGATACATGCTCAACATTTAAGATACAATATTCTAGTAGGGAGCGTGTCATAATGACACTACTTCACGGGTTATTGATTGTACATTTCGAAATCGAATAGAAGAAAGAGAGGATTTGAAAAGTAGCCTATAGCCATTGACCTATATTTATGTCTAATTCCATATTTTGTCTAGTGATTCCATTATCGTAAATGTTTTTGGTTTTTGTTTGTTTTTTGTTCTTGTTGTTTGTTTTTTATCATGGACACTGTGAAGCCATAATATGATTCTTGTATTACAAGAACATAAAACTCGGGAAAATACGATCGTATATTTAGATTTTAAGAAAAGTGAAAGAATTCGAGACAAAAATAATAGTTTACATGCTATGTGCTATTAATGACTGACTTTGACGTATTTTTCATCATATTTCTATTGCGTGACTAAAGCAATAATGGCTATTTTTGTATATTTTGAAATATTTTTGGTAATTTACATGGACTGTAAATGCCATTTGCAGCGTGTAAAAAATTATTTTTCACATAACAGTATTTTACTTTTAAATATATTTTCAAGTACGTTTTCAAAATTAGTATTTATCTGGAGTCATACCGCTTTCAGAAAATAAGCACGTAAATTAGTAAATTAGTCGTTGATTTATTGCTCATTCACAGACGAAATGTTATTATCAGTTCATTAGTATTAAGATTATTTCCATTTATCATCATAATGAAAGAGAATAACAAATTGTGAATATTAGTTATTAAAGTATATCAATGGAAGAATGTGATATCAACGTATACTTTTAAAATAATCCTACAGATCCTAATTGCGCGTGATATTCGGAACAAAGCCACATTGAAAAATTCTCAGAGGAGGAATAGAGATAAGCTAGAAAAAAAAAGTGGATTCAAATTACAATTATTAATGATAACATCGGTATGAAAAGACATGAGCTTTTGCTGACCTTTGAAATTTAATGGACAAAGAACAAAGAACCAATCAAAAACTGGAGACGGAAAAAATATTTATCTAGGTATAGAGGGTTTAATGTAAAATGTAAAAAGCTAGATCGCTGCTGTTCTGTAGTTTATAAAATATTTGTTAATATATTTAAAAGAAAAACATCGAAAGAAAACCCCAGCAAAAAATATCAAATTAACCAGTATTAAAGAAAAGCCCGTGTTTGAGTGAATTGTGCATACACGATATTATTGCTTAAGGCTTGTAACCCATCTTTGAGTAGAAGAAAAATATTTTGGTCTGAACCATTTTATTCTGGTAAAGTACAGGAATCATGTGCGTTAAATGAAAGATATATTCTATTTTATAACTCTTTCGAGAATATATCATTACGTTATGGAAAAACACAGTTTTGCAGGCTTTTCGTTGTTTTTCTTTTTTCAGTCATTAGCTAAAGCTTTGTACACTTTATACTGATAGAAGAAATAAAAAAATCATATTTTAAGTGAATTTTCGTATTTGTCTTCGACCAAATTATTTAATTATGTATTTTAACTAACATTTGACGACATCCTGTTTGTTAGTAAAAAGTAAAGACATAATTTGTTCAAAAGTCAAAAATATTATAAGAAATGAAAATTTATACGTTTTCCTGTTACATGTCGGTTTTATTCTTTTTATTAAGGTATGTGAGTTGAAAATAAAACCAAAGACAAGTTAAATAACACTATAAAGCTAGAGCAATATTTTACCGCATGGCTTGTAACCTTAGGCTTCATTATGTGACAAAAATTAATCTTACCTGATTTTTGAGCGTTTACACTCCACGTTTGTTTGTAAATGACTAAAACACATAGAACTTTTACGATTGTCATGGCAACTATTTGAAATGTGTTCATCACTATCTGTAACCTGAAATGTAATAAGTTAAATTTTACTTACTGTTTATGGGTTAGAAACTAATTTTATTTAATAGCTTTGTATAAAATTGTTCTCGAACAAGAAATATTGAAGTAATGCCGACGACAATTTAACGCGTTTATGACGTTGTACTTATTACTAAATTGTCTCTGCTCTTAGTACAATCACAATTTGTTTTGTTTGATAATAAAACAATATGCGCATTTGTTATAAAAAGAAATACAAATCTAGTAATTTTAAAAATAGAAATGTCAAGAAAAGCACGCTATCAAAATAAAGAGATTATCAGCTTCACGTAAAAGAAACATAAAGAACGCCCAACAAGGAAAATTGACATTGTCGTTGTGTCCGTTCTTTTGACAGTTGACACACATGTTTATTATAGTATTGTGATTTGTGATGCGTAAAGTAAGTCCTATATACGTGATTTGGACAGATTACAGATAAAGGGCAAATAGAAAGATCGTCGAATTCTATTTTCCATGCTATTGTCCAATCTATTATATATCAAGAAAATGAGGATGAAAACAAACACATAATAGACAATCTTTGGCAACAAAAACAAATTTAAGATAAGAAAACGATATTAACTTACTTATTTATGAGGGTTTATAGAAAATCAAATCTAAACAATTGAATTAAAATATTGAAAAAAATCAGTTTTTTTTTTGTATATCAAACTTTGAAAATTTGAAAATTTAATTTGAACATTAAAATCACAACATTTAATTTTAAATGCTAACCCTGAACTAAAAATTGATATATACGCCAAAAAACTTGTCAATTAACTATTAACACAATTATATAAAAGTTAGCAATTTAATTTGATATTCATATTTTAAGCAATCAGTTGTGTAGATTTTCTTTATTCTTTTTTGTTAGGAGAAAACATGTTTCGTTCTAATCTTTTAAAATCAAGATTACGGATACACATCTAAATAAATGGGAAAAAATTTACAAGTATGTTTACACATTATTTTTTAAAAGCTTTGAAATGCATACGATTGTTCACAGTTAATGAACTTACAGTCCAAAATTAATATTATACGGGAAGTGTAATCAATTAACTAACAAAACCCAAACAATGTTATTTAAGAAATAATATATCCCAAACTGTGATTTTATTGCTCAATAACATCACTGTTTGGAGTTCGGATGCGGGGAATTATATCACGAGGGCGTAGCCCGAGTGATATAATGATGCGCATCCGAACGACAAACAGTGATGTTATCAAGCAATAAAATCACCGATTTGGATATATTATTTCGATTCTAACACGACATTAAGAAATAAATGCTGCCGTACATGATAATTAGCTAAATTGCGCCGGATTTGTTTCCGTACTTATTGTCATCGCGTCACATTTTTAGTGATTACGTCACGTGTATAATGATTACGTCACATGTCTAAATATAGAACGTCAAACAGTGATTTTATAGCATAATAACACACACTTTCGGTTCTTCTATGTTCAATAGGGAAAAATGCGGGTCGTGTTAGAATATGTTTTAATATAGTTGATCTTTTTAAAAAATTAAACTAATCAACACATGCAATCCATTGCAGTTTATAAACAAAACTAAAAATATCAAATTTATTTTTAAATTAAAGTTTAATTGTTTAGAATGAATACGGAAATAAAGCTGTTTGTTCGTAATTTCAAACTAACAACATTTATAACTTTTCTACGATTTCTGTTGTAATATAGATAAATTATATTTATTATATCTAGACTGTCTATTTTTACCATTAAGTGTAATTAATACTGGTATTTTCTTCTGGTATTTATCTATCTTATAACGAAATGGTTATTCAGAAACACTGTTAAATTACTAGTTCATAATTCTAAAATATATACATATATTTATAAAGTTTTCTAAAGGAATTTTGGATTGAGAAATATTTTCAAATAAAAATAATAAAAAAGAAAAATCCAATAAATTAAAATGAATTTTTTTTTTTTATTTTTTGAAAATAAAATATTCAAAGGTATCAACAAAAAGGAACAATAACAAACAACCTTAACAAAAAAATGATAATAGAGACCACTGTTATAAAAGTCTATTACAAGTTGATATAAAATATAAAATACTTTGTAATTTTTATATTACAATATCATTTCAAAAGTTCTAAACATAAATATATTTATTATATCCAAATATAACTAGAATATCTCAAGAAACATATATATATTTTTTCTCTTACCTTTTTTTGTGTCCAAGTCCAGCACCTACTTTAACTGTTTTAATTTTTCTCTGTTTAGGTCTTACTTTTATAAGCCGCTGGAGTAGAATTCTTTGATTTCATTAACAGTGAAAAAAACGTAATAATATATGTATTTATATAGTTTCACAGTTCGTCACATGTAATATGAACCTTGAAAGAAATTGTCTTTACTAGTATGAAATAGTAACATCGATGTGTGAAGCTGCCGTTTGTTTTATTAACACAACTATAATTTGGTATCGGATATTGGTACGTAGCTGTATTAATGAAAAGAAGTGGGAGCGTTATCCGAACATATCAATGAGAATACTATCTATACTGGTCTAAAATTTCACAAACAAATACCGTCAAAACGAAATTGTTTAGAGCGTCATCATCACGTCAAATACTATTAAAATGGACAACGGAGGCCGATCGGATGGGTAAACTTAAGCATTAGAAGTTTAGAAAATATCGTTAATAGAAATGTAAATATATATCCAAAATCAAGGTTGGAATTGTTTAATATTTCAAAGTAAGCTTTTTTTGATCTCTATATTTGCACCAATAATTTACCAAGACATTTAAAAATATATACTGTGTATCTTAGGTTAACAGTCAATGATTATTCAGGAATATAACCAATGCAAACTGCAAGATATGTTATATACACTGCGAAATGGATAAGAATAACATATCAAATCTGATAAAAGTCTTATCAAAGCTAATATTAAATTACCAAATGAAAAGATGGCATTTATTCACAGAGAGACAATATATGGCTTAATATACGAAGACAATAAATAAAGTTCAACTGTTATTAAAGTTTAATAAAAATATTATATAAAAGGGACTTCACTGAGGTTTTTTGAAATGACGGGACTGGAAAAATTAATGTTCCATTTGATGTAGGTCCAGACGAACGCTTGTCACTTATATAAAAATTAATCATATTAAAAATAACACAAAAGTACGATTTTAACTTCATTTCTGAATATATTTCCTAATTATCGTTTGCATATCTTTTGGTGTTAAGTGCACAAGCTGGTCTATGTAAGAAATTCATTTTTCCATTATCGGCTCGTGTTGGTTGTTTCCTGATTACAGCTCCATGTAATCATGTCACAACTGCATCTAAAAACACATTGAATTGTGATTTCATGTCATACAATATGGAATGTCTTTTATGTTCATTAACTGAGAATTTATACGGGGGTAAGCGTAACACTAAGAATATACTGGTTACTTAAAGAACAACTCCTCATTCTTGTTTATATGATTATAATTGCAATTCTGTTGAATTAGATTCTTCTTTGATTCTTATTTAGTATGTTACGGCTGCAATAAAATAATGACTTCCTTATGTTTCCAATCAGTCCAATAATTGATTGATATATTTTGTTATTTGCCATGCTTCTTAAGACTAACTAATTTTTACAAATGAGGGAGTTTTTGTGCAGACACAACATAGGGAGTTACCTAGAATTGGAGTTATTTACAGTGGGGGTTAGTTATTGCAAGAATTTGTGACATCAGTTTATATAAGAACTTGCTTCCCGTAGAAATTATGACATATATAATGCATTGTATGTTATTAAAGTGACGTATAAGACACTAATAATGACAAACTAAATACTTAAGTGTATGCAGCACTCCCTGACTATCTGGTTATCTTATTGTCTAGTAATAATATTATCTAATATCATTTAATTCAATCCTCTAATCTAATTGTCTTATAATGATATCATGTAATAATTGCGAATAATTGCAAATATTCACACGACCAAACTTACTTATTTAATCCATTTTAACATAAAAAACTATTTGGAGGACTAGGGTTGTTAGCAAGTTTTATCATATGTAATATAATTGGTTATGAAATGTATGACTGGTTTTCTGCTTACTCATGAAATACGTTCTAATTGAATAGTATATTAAATACTTCTGTTAACAGTGATACAAATAATGTTTCAAATTGGAATAAAGGTTAGTAAAATATACATAGCATATATCCTATCATGATTTTTATATATCTAGACGATGGTATTTAAAATTTGTTAAAACAGAACTTTGTACAAACGTAATGTAACGTAAATATTTTTTTTCCACTTTTTTGCGTTTTCACACAATTTAATGTGTAGATGTGTATATTTCACTGTCTAATTAAATTACATACAACATTAGTCTATATTCTTTATAAAAGTACACTTATTTTATTTTTAATCAATATCTTAATAAGATAAAAAAGGCATATTTTATTAAAAGCTCTTATATGAAAAATGTCACAATAAATTGAACTACATTGAGTATAGAGTAATATCAGACCATGGGAGTTAATAGACGATGGCGTGATAAAATGAAATGAAATTAAAAATATTCATATAAAAACGTTCATAAGATGTGGAATTTTAAGTGTACGCTAACCATTAATGGTGATCTATAAAAGAGACAACCAACGCTTTTTTGTTATATCAGCAAAAATTCTATGGTTGATTATTTTTCGTCTAAAGGTAAAAATTATGTTCAGAAAGAATAAAGAATTATACTTAAAGGAAAACTGTCATGTCCGGTTCTACAGGGCATACATTACTTTTGATACTCTTATGAAAACGAGTCCGATTCCGTACATTATTATTTTTGTTTCCTAGAAACAAAACATATATTTTGTTAAGTAACATACACGACGTTTTATTGCTAAAGCAATTTATATGTGATTGCTCGAGTTTCGAGGTTACATTTCTGTACAAACATGTTTATAATTTAATCTATAAATATCTTTGTAATGCGTTTCTCTGATTGGCTAAGAAGTATCGTTTTGTAAAAATGACAGGTCAATATCAGAGTATACTCACTGTTTTTTCTTATTAAAATAGATTTTCAGGAAAGGCCAGAAAAAGATGCGTGTTATGACGTGACGTCACGCCAAGGAAGTTGTTATTTTTCTGAGAAAATGTTGGGCAACTCACGAATAAAAATTAAATTAGTCTCTTTAAGTTACCGTCTTTTTATTTTAAGAATTTAGAAACATCAGCAGATGTATTCATACGGCCGTCAAAGTAATACTAACGTGACATTCCATGTACTGGTACTTTGTTACCCTTAAATACAATACCAGGTCACATATACACGTACATTCACGAGTCACCATTGAAGATAGTTTAGTTCACAAATTTTTCGGAATTTTCGCTTTAGCGCTTTATTAAAAAAACGCAGGCAGTGTAAAGAAAATTTACCAATGAACTTTGATAAGAGACTATTGAACAACTTCCAGTGCCAATGTTTCACCCCCACCTACCTTCTTGTTGAAGTGTCATAGTAATTAGTTGTAACTGTACAAATATCGGAACACAATAGCTAGATCAAAATGTGATATAAAAGAGGATCGACGGTGTATAATTGACAAAGGAAACGACTCAAATTAGATTTAATTATGTACATCACAGTTCACATTGTTGTCATACATTAAACACCATTCCTAATTTAATATCATGTTCTGTAAGGTTAACGCTCACATAGCGTTTGTGAAGTGATACTTTTTACAAATATTAAGACAAACATGTCACGATTTGAAATGGCAAACAAAAATGACAATTGTTAGATCAGCTAACGTTTGATTTGTGATAGTAACCAGATCACAATATAGTTTACATTCATAATTCTGTTTATTAACAACATGTATATATATATATTATGAATAGAAGGTTTTTGAAAATGTTTACATCTACAAAATAACTTTCAAAAACACTGGATCCCAAGAAAGATATATGAACGTAGACAGAATAACAAAAAGTTTAAAGAAAATAAACGTTCATACAGTGCTAAAGTATAAATACACAAGTACTTTCGGCGTATTATGCCTTCACCAGGGATGTATTACATGTATAATATGCACACAATAGACCACAAAGTCTCTTTACGTGTGTACTGTATAGTATCAAAAATGCATAGATCCCTAACCTGTCTAATTCTCATTATCAGATTAGTGGACACAATGAGAAGTTCACGACAACATGTTTGTTATCAAAAGAGCACATGTCAATGTTTATGGTTAAATCTTTAAAACTTCGTACCTCAAGGTGAAAATGTTCAGCGACTGGGGACCAGTTAAATTCGCGTGTTTTCCAGTCAGAGCGATGTACGTTTATTCGTTTACTTAATGGAAGTTTAGTTTTGCCGACCTTGCTTGTTGTACATTTTGCAAGAGATTAGATAAATACCATTTGCTGTTTTCAATTCATAGTATCTTTGAGAGATGTTTTGGCCCCTATTTTGAGAAGAATGTATTTGTAAGTTGCATGGCAGCACAGGTTTGGCATCTTGGTGTGCCACATGGTCCAGACTGACATTCTTTGTCATTGTTGATCTCAGTTGAGTTCGAACAAGTATGACTCGGAGGCTTTTAGGTCTCCTATATGCAATGATTGGTTTGGTGGGGAACATCTTGTTCAGTTTCTGCGGAGACCAGTGTTTATCAATGATGGCTCTAGTGTTTGGTTAGTCCGGGTGGTATGTGAGCACAATAATATTTTTATTTTGTGTTTGTTTGTTGTTTGTTTGTTTGTTTGTTTGTTTCATTTTACGCCTTTTCCCAACAGTATTTCAGTCATATAGGCGGGTAGTTTCCTAACTATCGTTCCTGGAGAGTTACATTGATAGAGTGGTGTTTGTACTCTAGTAGTTCCTTCCTGTGTTTGCAGTCTGCTTTAGAGATTGCGTTAGCGATGTCTTTTTCTTTATATTCTCGCTTCCAAAGGTGTTCCGAGTCCTTTTGCTCTGATATTGAATGTGTTGGGATCTGAAAACATTCGTTTAATTCTCAAAGCTAAACTATATGGTATGTTCTTGCAACAATGTGAGGGTGGCAGCTACTTGAAGAAGGTATTGATGTTTATCAGTGGATTTAGAATACAAATCGGTATTTATGTGATTGTCTTTAATATCAGACACTGTGTCAAATAAAAACATGTTGTTCGTTAGCTACCTCAGTGGTGAACTTTATAGATTTGGGAACAGCATTGGCGCCGTGAGGAAATCTTATAAAGCCTCATCTCCGTAACAAACAAGTCACGTGAGATATACTGTATTCGCCGACTTAAAACGCTTGAGCCATCGGAGACTTACTTTAAAGTTGCATTCTGCTCATCCAAGGGTATATAGTTAGTGGAAAGGTGAAAATCAAAATAAGTTTACATTTTGCCATTATTCCTTTCTACTCTATAACTTACTAAAAACTAAACATTAAATTACTCATGTGGCCCTAGGAAATTTCAGTTAATATTCATACGAATGTACCAGTAAGGTTCAATTTTCACAACGATTGGTGCAGTCTTTTATATTTT